TATGTTAAATATTGAAGTAGAAAATAAACTTTTTTTGCTTATTTTATAATTATTTAAAGCTAGTCAAATCAAGAAAACTTTTTAACGACATAACAACAGTGTATTATCTTTACCTTTAATTTATAATTTATTTAAAAAAAAAAAAAAAAAAAAAAAAAAAAAAAAAAAAAAGATAAATTGTATTTATAAAAGATTTATACATAATAAAATTAAACTTACTAATGTATTTTCCTATAATAAGCTTTTATCGTTAACATATTATTAAACAACTCTTTTATTATTTATTTATTTATTTTCATTACCTCTTAAATCTTCAGTATATTTTCATATCATATTTTTGTAAGGGCTGTTTTCATACGAAAAGATGTTGGAATATATATATTTTTTTAATGAAATTGATTAAATTAATTATTTTTGTTATAAACATAATCAAATCTTTAATTGGTAAATTAGCTTATTTTATATACCTTAAATTGGCTTAAAGCCGATATATTAGTTGTACCTGATCTGGTATATCAAATGAAATGTTTAACGCCTTTGTACAAAAATGACTAACATATATTAATGTAAGACGATGTATATGTGTATGCATATGTATATGTATATGTGAAAGGATACAGTATAAAATATTACTAAGAATGTTATAATCTTGCATTTCTATATAAAAAAAGTATAAAGAAATAAAGGAGTTATGCAAGTTAAAGACAAATAATAATAGTAATATACTTGATGATAGTCTCTTTAAACATATGATTATAGGGAGTAACATTACATGCTTTTATTATCGTCAGTGTACAAAGATGTATATACATATATAAGCGCTTTCAAAAAAATTATTTTCTTTTTTTTTCTAGTATTTTATTCTTTACATTCCTTTTGTACATATAGATATATAACATAATGAATAAAATCAATTACTTTTTATTTTGTATTATCTTATTGTTATTCTGCAATATTCAGCAAGTCAAATCACGACCATTAAATCTTGCAAAAACCACCGAAAAAATACTATCTAGTCTTGGAACAGGAACTTACTATGATGTTGCAGCTGGTTTTGGATCTTGTGGTGAAATGAATAGCAATGATGATATGGTTGTAGCTGTCAACTATATACAGATGGAGAATGGTAGTAATAATAATAATAATAACAATATATATATGTATCTTAATTGTAATCATTTGTGTAGGATCTAATCCTAATAATAATCCACGCTGCGACAAAAAAGTCAAAATTATTGGAAAAACAAGGAAAGTGGTTACAGCCAGAATAGTTGATACCTGTCCTGGTTGTAGTTCTGGAAGTTTGGATATGTCTACTGCTCGTAAGTATTATATCCAATATATGTAAACAATTGAAGTAATTATTAAATATTCTTATTTTAGTATTTAAAAAAGTATGCGGAGACCTTGCACTTGGTGTTTGTAAAATAAAATGGGATTTTATTTGAAAAAAAAAAAAAAAAAGGCACATGGATGCATGTACATCTATAGAACCTGTACAGATATACCTGCAATTTAAAACATCTCTCTTTTTACCCTACATAAACAAATATCATTTGCACATTCTCTCTCTACTATTTTACATTTCGGTTGTATTCATTTTATTCATGCCTACATATTAGATACAAATATTTATTTTAAACCATTTGCGTTTTATTTAACCAAAAATGAAGGAACCCAATAAAAGCTATTTTTTTTTTTACTCCTTAATAATTACAGTGCAAATATCAGTTATTTTATTTTGCATGTTATTATTTTGGGCGTAATTCAAGATTTTGATCTATTACTATCTGATTTTTTCTTTAACTTTATAGAATTTAAAAAGCTGTTTACTCTTGTATGATGGTTGAGTTGGCACTTATTTCTTTTTATATTTTGACATAAGTTACTGTGTTAATGGCTCTTTTTTTTTTTTTTTTTTTTTTTTTGTTATAATAGAAATGTAATGTCTGCTCATTTCTAATGCTAAAGGAACACGGATTCGACAAAAAAAAAAAAAAAAAAAAAAAAAAAAACTTGTTACTAAATTTAGAAAGTGATTTCAAATATTCGTCTCCACACTCTAATATGTCTATCCATATTTTAGATCGCCCTTCTAGACTTCACCAGCAACTACTTGTTCCTGAAAACTTGAAAATGCTAGAGGATTATTCTGACAGGAACTGCACTACTACGCCATGTCTATTTTATTTCAAATAGGGAGTAATATGTTGCTGTAGAGCTTCCTCTATCACACCTGCACGCCACCTGTATCAATGCATTACATGCTACAAAACCTTTACTATCATTATTCTTCTTAAAGCTTTCCTTAATAATGAAGTACTTACCAACAGCTAAATTATAAAGGTCAAAATATTTCCAGCTGAATCTAATGATCTTACGACGACACAATGTCCTTTTTTTTTTCAATCTCATTGCCTACATATAACAAAAAAATGATATTGTGCAATCGTCTTGTTAGTCAGCCCACGCAACTCCACGAGAAATTTATAGTAACCAATAATGAGCTTCAAATTACTAAAAGTGATTTGGTCAACTTGTTGGAAGAAAAATTCGCCTTAAAGCCCATCAAGCTGACACCTCTAGCCAATCTACACCACCTTGTCATAAATGCGCTTGTCAATAGGCTCTCAAAGATGGCTCACAATGTCTTGTATTATCTGCTACTTGGTTGCAGACACATACTAGTGATATTACCGCTTCTACCACCCGAGCAGCAGGATGTAAACTTATCTAGGTCACAGCTACAAAAAATTTCCAGCTACCTTTAGATACTCACGGCTTCCAACACATCTTTTTTGCCTACCAAAGCTTATATGCAAGTTGGTCAGATCTGATTACACAAATTGCCCTCAGTAAAACATATAATCAATTGTTAAAAGTAAAGAAGTTTATTAAGAATTAAGTTTCAGCACTGCTGTATGAAGATTAAATAAGTATAACGGTTAATCAACTATATATTGCGTTATTGTATTGTAACTTGAATGAACAACTTTTTGTTATCATTATTATTACTATCTGATTCACAAGCCTTTGATAAATGAGTAAGAGAAAGAATATATCTTTATTCATATCTTAAATTTACGTATTATTCCTTTTGTTGCTGTTGCCAGACTTTGATATAACAGTTCTATTGAATTTTATTAAATGCTAACAAAATTTATAAACCTTTCTTCAAAATAGTATTGATATTCATCATCCTTATATCCTTTTATTATTTAATAAAACTATATTTCAATACTATAATTGCTTATAACAAGCAAGCAAATACAAGCATTGTTACTAAAAGGTCAGATACAAAAATAAAAAAAATTAAAGCCCAACGGGGGGGTCGAACCCCCAACCTTGAGATTAAGAGTCTCACGCTCTACCGATTGAGCTAGCTAGGCTCTTTGATGCCTGTGTAACCAGTATTAAAAATATATAGAAAAATTATGTAATTTCGACCACTGCAAATAAAGTCTACTTTTACAATTGTAAAAGTTTGTAAAAGGTGACCCAGTCACAATTGTAAAAGGTGACCTTTTACAATCGAAAATTGAAAATTGGAAGTTTTAAAAAATTTTTATACCAAATGAAAGAGAAAAATTTGCTCATTTCGAATATGTTAAAATTTTTTTATTTGGTTAAGAATTGATAGAGATATTAGCATTTAAAGATTTGTTTAATGGTTAAAAAATATAACAATTTTTTGGGTATAGTCTTTTTTACTAGAAAATAAATTTAGAATCCCGATTTTTTTTTACTTCAAATTTTATTGGACAAAAATTTTATATTCTGAATTCAAAAGAAGTTGAAAAAATAATAATAATAGCAATAATTCATTCAAGATGAATGTTTAAAATGTAAAGTTGTAATAAGTCTTTTTTTAAGAAAAGGTCAAATTATTTAACTTTTTCAAAAAAAATTTATTAAAAAAATAATAAAAATTCAAGTCAACATGTACAGTAATGAGTTATGTATAATGTCAATTGTTAAAATCAAACTTATATTATTACTTTACAATAAGTTATTTTATCTAGTAAGATTAATTTGTCGTACTTAATATTTTTTTTTTTTTTTGTTGAACATAATGTCAAAATGTCTAATTGCCATTCCAAAATCAACTTGAATGTAGATGGAAAAATTAAAATATACCCCTGCTAAAGTATTTAAAAATAATAAAACTATTTATTATTTTTCAAATGAAAGATGCATCATCCGATTGTTAGTAATTTATTTATTTATTTTTCGTAAAGATAAGTAAAATGAAAGGGAATTTTTTACTGCATATATAAGTTTTAACTACAGCAATAAATTTAGTTATCTGTAAAAAAAATATTTTCTCCTTTTTTTATTATCTTATACTGATTATTAACATCTCAACTTATAAATTTATAAATTCATTGCAACATGTCTGTTTAATTAAACAAAGATCAATGTGAATGGAAATGATTAACTTGTTCTCAAAGTAGACTTAGATATAAGGTTGTTTACAGACATACTATCTTTATCTATATTCATATATTCATTAAAAATTGATAAGAGTCTTGAAGATGCAATTACCAATGAACATAGTAAACAACAATAATAAGTATTCATTGCAGATGTTACAATTAATAAATGTAATCACGCTAGCTTTTTTTTTTTATTTTGAATTATAAAAATAACCACTGCTGTTCGTTTTTTTTTCTTTTTTTTTTGTCATCGCACTAAAGATGTCTATAATGCAAATGAAGAGTCGATTGCTGACAATGGTAATGACATTAATTTTATTGGATTAGAATATTTAGAAGATAAATATATGGTTGAAAGTATGTATTAGTTATTAAAAGAAATAGTATTGTTATAATAACTTCTGTGTAAGCTATTTATGCTAACTTTTTTTATATAGTATGCTTTGTATATGACTTTGGAAATTGTTATATAATTACTTCGGCGATAGAATACATAAATGAAAGACTTCTTTGTCAGCTTATACAAATGCTTTAATAAGACTTTTTGTTTCTAAAAATTTTTTACTTTATTTCTTTTTACTTGTTTCTTTTTTTTCCTTCTTGTTTTCCTTTTTTTTCTTTTTTCTTTTTTTTTGAATTAGTACTTAGGATAAATGACTTGAGATGATATACAATCCAATTGGTAAGTAACTTAGCACGGTTTGATTATCCCCGGCGAACATGTAATGAACATGGTTAGCTCTTTATATTTAAAGAAAAAAAAAAACTATATTCTAATCAATATCTTTTTTTTTTCAAATAGTTTTACTGTATACTTTGAATCTTTGGCGTTTTGCCTTTTATAATGACTAATAGCGAATTATATAAAATACGTAAATAATAAAGATAAGGTAAACATAACATAAATATATCTTTATATCTTACTAAAGTTGTTTTAATGATAACATCAACTAAACTTTTTTTTTTGTTTAGGCGTTAAAGGTCTATCTTTATAGCCTTTTCTCTTGTGGTGACCGATTACAAATAAAAGGTAAATAATATAATAAGCATACTAATTATTATTTTAAACGCGTAAAATATTTATTAATCTTTCTTATCTTTTATTTAGGTAAGTGAAAAAAAAACTATTCTGCTTTGGTGGCCGTTAACGTGTAAAGAAATGATAACTTCTTTTCTAATGGTAAGAAACTAAAATATAATTTATTTGTTTTTTCATTGACTAAATCGTATTTTATTTTATTATAGGAAGAATTCTATTATGAAAGAAGCTATCTATGGTCCTCTTAATGACTCTATTACGCGTTATCTCGGTCCTTTCCATGGCGTATTTATTCTATTTTTTTGGATACATTTTTATATACATTTTTTTAAATATTTTTTATATATTTTTTATGTATTTTTTTATGTATTTTTTCATGTATTTTTTTATATATTTTTTTACGCGTTTTATAGTATATAATAATATAATATTTTATATATCGTAAAAGGAAATAATAAACGAAAATAAATAAAATCGTATTTTGAAAAAGAATATAAGCTCCATTATCTACTGTATTTTAAAGAAGTCTAAAATGTATCATAATATAACGAATAAGCAAACGTTTAATTTGAATGTAAAGGCCAATAAGAGTAAAAAAACGTAAAGGAATGACGAATATTAAAGAAGCGTAATCCAATAGAAGCTTTGAGCTATGAAGCAAAATTTTGTAAAAGGTGAACTTTCATGATTGTAAAAGGTCTACTTTCAGTATAGTTTCACAATTGTAAAAGTATACTGACTTGGTCAGGTTGTATCATTGTAAAAGGTCACCTTTTACAATTGTGAAAGTATACTGAAACTTTAATGAAAGGTCACCTTTCAGTCTACTTTCACAATTGTAAAAGTAGACTTTTATCTCCAGTGGACCAATCAAATTTCGTGCACGTGACATTTTTTTCTCCGATATCCCTTTCATTGTTATTATTGTCTTGATGAATATGTTTCATTGAATTATTTTATTAAATATCCCTTATTATGCTTAATAAATAATTTTTGATTTAATTATTAAATTTCTTACTAAAATGTATAAATTATATGAATATTCTGTCAACTCTCGTTTACTTCTAAAAGTCATTAAATAGCTTTATTAAAATTATAGTATGATTTGTAAAGGAAAAAAAAATGAAAATAGAAGAAAGATAGATAAAAATAAAAGTAGAAGAGGAGAAGGACGCTAAAATTTATTAATATATTTACTAAAAATATATGAATAATGATTAAAGCTAGTATATAAGAATAATAAAGTACTTGTATTCTTTGTAAATAAGTATTATATGTAATAACAAGATAGAAATATAATTAAATGTATTTGTAAAAAAATGTATATACATATATATGTATATAGAAGGAGATAATGATTATAACATTACATTCATTTCTTTTGTAACTAATATTTTCACCTTGAATAAGAAATAAAAAAACATGTATATTCAATCTTGGCTTATCCTCAGTTTAACTTTAAAAGCTATTTTTTATACCATTTCCGAAAATGAATTGCACCAACATAAAAAGAGAGGCAAAATTGCGCAGATAAATATTTTAGACAGCACACTAACTGAAATCATCTTGTTGTAACTATATAGTGTTTTTAGCATATAATATTCATACATATGCCATTAAATGCTCTTGGCTACATATTTAGAAAATTCAAAAGAGATTTAAACATTAAAAATCTTAATTTAAAGATATTTCAATTGTCAAAAAGGACCAGTACTGATATCATTTAATTTAAGCGCTCCTTTCAATAATCAATTAACAACCGGAATGTAAAAAAAAAAAAAAAAAAAAAAAAAAATTATTACTAAAGCCCAGAAAAAAGTTCAAAGTAAAGCAATTGAATCTACATTGTTTGAATCTCTATCATTATTGTATATTTAGAACATTAATCTCAAATCAGTTGCTATTCTTTGGTAAGATTGTTAATAACAATAATTCAATTAGTAGTATCCTGGTGTCAAACATGACTATGGATAACGTCCTTGCAGAATAATGTGCAAATCTCTTTAGTTTTTCAAAAATATATAAATCTACTAAGCTAAAGTATTTTAGTAACTCATTTATATAATTTATTATGATTGATAATATCCATAGCCTTTCGATATGATTTAATATACTTTAAATAAAAGTCGATAATAAGAAGATTGGAAGCAATAGTGATAAAAACATGTCGTTTAAGGATTTTGAATATACTTATGAAGGGGGCGTACTTTTTTTTGGAAGCGTTGGTTTTAGTATAATTGAAGGATTCGCAGTTGATAATAGTTTTCGTGTAAAAGAAACAAAAAAAAAAAAAAAAAAAAAAAAGAATGAGATATATATCATCGGAAAAAAATAATCTATTATATGGATATAATAGAGCACGACAGACATGTATAGAGCATCAAAGCTAGTATAAAGACGCTCTTGAATAATACATTAATACATATCTATTGCTAAAAAGCATACGAAATAAATGCTTTTGTAGAAGCTATTCCTATTAGACCATATAGTTATCATACGGTGTATCGTTATAAATATACTAATTTATCAATATGAATACATATAAAATTAAATGTGATAATTATAATATATGAGCTTCAGGTAAAAAACATAAAGTTATTTTTACAACAAAATAAAGTATAATAAGAATGGAATTATTGGTAGCAAAAAAAAAAAAAAAAGAAAAAATAGTGACAAAATATCAATATCTTTAACATCTCAGAAGACTTTCTTCAGCTCGCAGTTAAGAAGTTAACTGATTTCAAAAAAAAAAAAATTACCCCCTTTATTTCCATGGAATAAAAATTGCTAGCTCCAGTTAAAAAAATTGTCAAAATATGTCTTTTATCAGCAATTGTCTTGTTATTATTAAAATAGATAAGAATTTTTACTAACAATGCTCATTAAACACGCGAAATTAAAGAGTAAAGTTCATGCTTTGTTTAAATGTAGCTCATACATGATATAATTTATAAAATAACAAAAAAAAATCTCTAAAAACTTCTCTATCATATATCTGTGAAAAGCGACAAAAAACCCCATTGGGATTGAGAGACTAACAAGCTATACATTAATTGTTAGCAAAATCAAAAGAAACAAAAAGATGAATAGTATAGTTTGGAATTGATATGGAATTTCTATACCAAGATTTCAGCTATTAGTTAGATAAAATATGTAATAGTAAGTTAAGAAAACATTTTAGTATGTATAACTCATGTATCTTTTACAATATCCTTCATATTATATATTACTTGTTTATATTATCTGTGAAGTATGGCATACACCCTGTTCTATTTCCTTTTTAGTTCGTCGGTAAGAACTTTGAACACATATCTTTAAAATGATATTTTATCATATATTTATATATGTATATTAATATATAATTAAAAAAGAATTTGTCAGCTAATTTAAAGATAAACTTTCAGAGAGTTTAAGAAGCATTAGTTTTAATAGAGAGTTATTATATTTATTTGAATTAGTTACTTAATTTTAAAAGAGTAGTGGTCTAATAGATTATTATCTTTATTACCTTAAGCGTGGTTTATATTACCAGTAAAACGAAGAAAGAACCAATAATTGGTAACAATAGGGAAAAATATGCAAATAAGCTATTTTTTACTAAAAATAAACCAATAATTAAATTTTATGAGTGGCTGAGTTAAATACATGTGGCGAGTTAAATGAATCTGACCCGAGTTAAGTTTTACCTTTATGAAGCGGGGAATAATAATAAAAAAAAAAATCAGGAACTTGGAACCATGCTCGAATACATGTTAAAGAAGAAAAATGATAATAAACAAATAAAAATGATAATAAACAAATAAGAAATGTTATTTGAAACGAATTTCTATTTCCAATTCAATACTATTTCTAGAATCTTTGTTTATTTGTTATCTTTATTTGAGACAAATTTGAACCATTTTCTTAAACAAAAAAAAAAAAAAAAAAATTAAATAAACGGAACTAAAACTGTTTATGGTAATAGAAGCAATTTGAAATAGAATCGGAAGAAGAAAAAAAAAAAAGAAACTTTATTTATTATATAAAAAAAAAGATTAAAAGAAAATTTACGATTTCTTTTTTCTTTACTAAAAACACACACACGCGAAATATGCTCAGTTCATCTGCTTCTCTCACTATTAACGTCTGCTCTGCTACTGAGCTTGTCTCTGTTGAACATTTTGGTAAACAAGATCCTTTCCTTCAATTCACTTTGGACTTTAATCAGAAGGACACCTATTTGAGAACTTTTACTCATAAGAATGGTGGTGAAAGCGCGACTTGGAATCAAACTTTTACTATTTCCTTAAACGGTGAACCTGATCTCTTTATTGAAGTTTTAGATGAAGAACATACCGTGAATGAAGTTATTGGTTTTGCTGCTATTCCTATTAACCAAATAGTGTATGCACCTGGTGCTCAAATGAACGGTCTCTTCCAAATTTATGACACTAAAGGTAATCCTGCCGGTCTTGTTAACTTGCAATTGGCTGCTTCTGGTTTCCCAAATTCTGCTCCTCCTAACTTTGGTGAATTTGTTAGAGGACAAAGTTATGTTAATGAAGAACATTGCGCACGTATGAAATCAATTAATAAGAAAGCTACAGGTGTTGCTGTTGGTGGTGCACTTTTAGGTGGTGCATTGGCTATCGGTGCTGGTCTTCTCGGTAAGAAACTCTATGATGATCATAGAGAGGAAGAGGAAGAAGAAGAACGCTTGAGACAAGAAGAAGAGGAGAGACGTAGACGTGAACGTGAGGAATTTGAGGAAGAGCGTAATCGTTTTGAACAAGAAAAGAGTGAGTGGCAACAACCTGAACGTCGTGATGACTCTGAAGATCGTTACGATTGTTCTGATGATGATGATGTACGCAGATGGAATCCTGTTGGTACTTATGCTGCTGGTGATCGTGTCAAGTACCATGGTCAAGTTTATATGTGTCTTCAAGGTCACACTTCTAATCCTACTTGGCAACCTGATGTTGCTCATTCTCTTTGGCAAGCCGAGTAAAAAAATACATACAAACAAAAATCTTATCCATAAAGAAATAGTCAACTATGGTAATATATCTACACTTTTCTTTTATATTTCATCTATGTTATATACCTATTTTAAATAAAATACCTGTAATGTTATTGTGTATTGTATTGTATTTTTTTTTCTCAGAGATGATTATAGTATAACATGTAACCAAATAAAAGTGTGCAAAAATAAAGGAGTACAAGAAAATAAAAGAGTTTAAGTTTTTATAATAACGAATATCTAGATTAAATATAATATAAATGCATTTTATTTTATATATAGATATTTGTATGTGTATATTACATACAAATGTATGTACGAAAATCTTATAAATGAAAGATATAATATGTAAATGGATAAAAAAGAAATTATATAACATGTAGGCACATTCTCTGGCCAAAAAAAAAAAAAAAAATTACCAATCAAGCTTAGTTTTCTTATTTTGTTGATTATTACTAGTTGACAATTTGGTGGCCTTTCCCTTTTTATAGCTCTTGCCATTCAACCAAGGCCATGATTCAGTACGTTTCAACTCAAATTCAGAGATCTTATCCACTTTTTGCATCGTTAAACCAATATCGTCTAAGCCATTCACAAGACAGTGTTTGCGGAATGGCTCCACATCAAAGGAAATTTCATTACCAGCATAATGAATCACTTGATTGACCAAATCAATTTCAACTTCAACGCCTTCCTTCTTGGATACCTCAGCAATTTCCTCTAATTGTTTTTGAGGAAGAACGATAGGTAACATACCATTTTTGAAACAATTGTTATAAAAAATATCTGCAAAACTAGGGGCTAAAATGCATCGGATACCAAAGTCATTGAATGCCCAAGGTGCATGTTCACGAGAACTACCACAACCAAAATTAGGGCCTGTACAGACCAAAATACAGGAATCACGGAAGGGAGTCTGATTGAGGATAAAGTCTGGATTCTCTTCACCTGTTTTAGAATCGAAACGAAGAGCATAAAAGAGGGCATTACCTAAACCTGTTCGCTTAATTGTCTTGAGGAATTGCTTGGGAATAATCATATCTGTATCGACATTAGATATATGAAGAGGTGCTGCATAACCTTTAAGAGTTGTGAATTTAGGCATACCACCTGTACTGCTGATAGAATTAGGCGTGGTGGGTGTGCAGTCTTCAGAGGAAATGCTTGTTTCGCTTTTGGCTTCATCATCAGATTCAAGTTCAGGTATAATCTCTTGGCGAGGACTGTTGTTCACTTGAATTAAATAAGAAAGATCAGTAGCTTCCATTTTGCGAACATCTGTAAGATAACCACGAATACCAGCAGCAGCAGCCATAGCAGGACTTACAAGATGAGTACGACCACCAGCACCTTGTCGACCTTCAAAATTACGATTGGAAGTAGACGCACAACGTTCCCCAGGGTTAAGTTGATCAGGATTCATACCAAGACACATTGAACAACCGGCCTCACGCCAATCAAACCCAGCATCTATAAAGACCTTATCTAACCCTTCACGCTCTGCTTGACGTTTGACAAGACCAGAACCAGGCACAACCATACCATAGACCCAATCTGCAATCCTTTTACCCTTGATGATTGAAGCAGCAGCTCGTAGATCCTCAATACGTGAATTAGTACAACTACCAATAAAGACTTTATCAATCTTAACAGATTCCATAGGCGTATTTGGAGCAATTCCAATATAGTCTAAAGCACGCTCAACAGCAGCACGACGAATAGGATCCTTAATTTTACTTGGGTCAGGAGCATTCTCAGTGATGGCGACAACATCTTGAGGGCTTGTTCCCCAAGTAACAGTAGGAGCAATGTTTGCAGCATCAATCTCAAGATCAATATCGTAGTGAGCATCAGGATCAGATTTGAGTGATTTCCAATAAGCTACTGCACGGTCCCATTCAACACCTTTAGGAGCCAAGGGCTTATCACGAAGATAAGCAAAGGTAATTTCATCAGGGGCAATCATACCAGCACGAGCACCAGCTTCAATAGACATATTACAGATCGACATTCTTGATTCCATTGAGAGACTTGAGATAGCTTCACCACAGAACTCAAGAACACAGCCTGTGCCTCCTGCTGTGCCTATTACACCAATAACATGAAGAACAATATCCTTTGAAGTAACGCCAGGTGAGGTTTTACCTTTAACATGAATACGCATATTTTTTGATTTTTTTTGAAGAAGTGTTTGAGTAGCTAATACGTGTTCAACCTCTGAGGTACCAATACCAAAGGCAAGAGCACCAAAGGCACCATGAGTAGAAGTATGAGAGTCACCACAAACAACAGTTGTACCTGGTAAAGTAAAACCCTGTTCTGGACCAATAACATGAACAATACCTTGACGATCATCATCCATACCAAAATAAGTTAAACCAAATTCTTTAATATTTTGTTCGAGTGTTTCACACTGGGTACGAGAGTCTGCCTCCTTAATAAATGAAGTAATATTCTTAAAGTCTTTTCGTGAAGTGGTAGGGATATTGTGATCTACAGTTGCTAAGGTGCAATCAGGACGACGAACAGGACGGCCTGCATTACGAAGACCCTCAAATGCTTGAGGACTAGTAACTTCGTGAACTAAATGCCTATCGATATAGATCAAACATGTACCATCTTCTTGTTGATTGATGATGTGATCATCCCAAACTTTATCATAAAGTGTTTTACCCATAATCAATACGTTTTAATTTTAAACTAGAGTTTAAAGAGGAAGGTATATAATAGTAGTGAGGATTAAATAGTTAATGTATGAAGGAAAAAAAAAAGATATATGAAGAAAAAAAAAAAAACAAAAAGAAAAAAAAATGAATGATTAAAGCTTTTATGGTTTTTTTTTTTTGCATTTATCTTGACTCAATGAAATCAATAATTTTATTGGATAATTTTAAACTTAAATTCTACCCCACTAAGTGACTCAATTATCTTTTGAGCCTGTCAATTTCCATACCCGACTATAATGGATGCCTTGATGGCAGTGAGTCAGTAAGGTGAGGCTTTTAATTGGATAAAATAAAATAAACAAATGGAGAATTCTAATACCTATAGTATTTTACATTGCCAAATTACATATAATGAAATTCATGAGGCCAATTTTAAAGTCTTAATAAATGAAAAAGGTAAAATGTGTCAACATGCGTATCATACTTTTCTGATTTAGGTGAAACAGGTAAAAGTATCTATATACATATATATATTATTCTTTAGTTGTTTATAACTATATGATAGAGAAGCCAAATATTTGGAAAAGTAAGCCATATTCTAGTGAAGAATGTTAAATCTATTAAATTTATACTATAATTCATTAAATCAGTCTTATAATGAAAAAAAAAAAAAAAAAAAAACTCGGCAGCTCGCTACCAGAAATGATAAAATCAAACTAAATAAAAGATATAAATAAGTAGAATAATAGACTGAAATGTGTATTTGTTTGCAAGTTTATTCATGAATTTGAGCTTAATATGAGTATAAAGTAAGAAAATGGTCGTACATCTTGGGGATCTCTAGCTGTAATTACTACACTTTCAACACGAACTAAAGCAAATACTATTCTTGGAGCAGTCTCCTTATTTTGATGTTATGAATGAAAAAGTCAAAATTCCTTGAAATACAACTATAGATAAATAATGAGATACTTTGATTATAATTAAAAATGATCGTTTTATATATCCTTATATCAGTTCATTATCAGAAGAAGGCATAATTAGTAATATCTAATGGCATTCAAATAATTTCACTTTTATAAAACCAAATTAAAACGTTCTTTCAGTACTCATAATATTAGCCAATTATAGATATATATATGTATATATATACATGTATATATTCTACACATGTGTAATAATTATAGTCGTAACTATACTATGGCTTCTTGTGACTATATAATAATGATATATGATATATATATAACAACTAAAATTATTGCTCATTTGACATGGAAAGACTTGATGTCTTTTTATTTTCTTCTATTTAGTATCCTTTAATAAATTAGTTTTTAATAAACATATTTCGAGCTTTTTGGTACTAATTTTATATTCAATTGTAATCCACTATCTTTACTAGCCTTTACCACTATTATGAAGATGAACTTTACTCTAAGCTCTTCCAGTAATATTTTTAGGAAGTATATCAAGTTATCTAAATCTTAACGATGATATTATTTCTGTATAATCCTTAATCTATGGCATCAAATGGAGGAATAAGTATCATAATCACCTATTTGATTTTACTGATGTTATTTATATAGCAATTCTGTATTCTATTCTTAAGATTTATATTTCTTTATGAACTCCAACACAGTTTAAGCTTTTCTCTTTAACAATAAGAATTTATTAACATGGATTTTTATTTGTGTAAATTTTAGCCTTCATCAACTAATTATAGAAAAGGCAGAACTAGTTCTAGAAGAAAAAAAAAAAAGAAAAAGAAAAAAAAAGAAGAAAAAGAAAAAGAAAAATATCGTCCTTTAATTAGTAAGCTTTTAAATTAATCATCTTCGTATCGACTATTATAAGGCAACTTGTGTTCATAAATATACCCAAAAATTTGCTTTAATTGAAAATACTAATGTTTCCGTGACTTATATAGATGATACTTAATTAATATTTGAGACGCATATTTAATAAGATGCTCAATATTCAACAAAGAAGAACTGAAAAGAAAAGAGTAACTTCTAGCACAAGGAGTACAGGATACATAAATCTGCTCACTTATATATTCTCATTATATATAAATTAATAGTGAATTTCTTTGTCAAAATATTCTAAGCTTATACTGAGATAACACTATCTGTAAACTTGAATATAAGGATCGAGTTATTAATTTGAAGCTAAATGTATTTAACACACATAAGGCTGAGTAAATTCAACTTGATAGTACTATTCAGATGGATAATATTAATAAATTATTATTATTTTTTTTTTTTTTTTTTTTTTTTTTTTTAAAAAAAAAGAATAGGGCACTTGAACAAGAAGTATCTTAAAGTGAAGACAAGAAATTGAAGAAAAGAATAAACATGCTACTAGTTTTACTAACAGAGAACAAGAGTAGATACAAGGTTGCTGTGTAATTCTTGTTGCTAAAAGAAGAGTTTTGTGGTTTTTGCATTTATGAAAAACTTAACACAAGTATTCTTGATATATAAATATATACTAAGATAAAATTCGAAATGTAAGGAAATAAAGTCATATCAAAAAAAAGATATAAAGTATAATACTAATAATTTTTGCTGAGAAATAGCTTATAAGCTCAACTTCTTCATCTTTACAAGTTATTAAAGAATACCTTAAACGTAGATTATTAGTTACTGGCTGTCTGTCTGTCTAACTCCATATTATAATTAGCTTTACTGCCTATCACAACATAATTTACTTGAAACTAAAACTCTATTTTATTTTTAACTAATACTCTATGCAAACTTCAATGAAAAAGATCTTTGTTCTTTTCTTTTACAATTTATATTGATCATATTTTTTCTTTTATATTCTAACCCGATACTCTTCATTTTATTATTTCATATGAATTTATATTATTATTTATTTTTGCCTAAAGATATTTCTTTTAATCTCGTACCTAATTATTCCTGATTGATGTACAAATGTTTTCTGAAAAAGGTGTATAGTGCAATATTATATATGAAGTGTGCAACAGTGTATTATCCCTCAATTATAGGTTAAAAGGTATAAAAATGAGTATTGAATACATGTATTGATTTGAATCATAGTTTGACATTCATGTTATATATAAATCGAAATATTATCATGTTAAATAGGCTAGTCTTATAAAATACCTATCGTATTTATAAACAAATGAGTAAATAATGACTTTTTGTAGAATTATAGACTTATTAATAAGTAACACATTCCTAAATGTACAACATTAATAATGAACATATTTGTATATGCGTATATTCCGTTACTCTTATCGAACACATAAAGTATTTTTATTAAAAAGAAAAGGGATAGCACAAGTTGTAAATATTTTATGAATATGTTGAATTTAGTTAAGTTATATAAAGACATATCAGAGATGAATAAAGGAAGGAAAAGCCTAGGATTTTAGAACATGAATATAACCAGGATTATTATACCAAAAAAAAAAAAAATAAAATAAAATAAAAATAAAATAAAAAAATGTATTTAAACGCTTATTTTAAATCGATAAGACGTCAATCATGATACAAATTATAAGTTACAATAAGATGTATGAATTTAGAAGAAGAAGAAGATATTTATGATAGCCATATTAGTAGATACTATACTCAATAGGAAATAAGTTACACTAAAGTTTGTGCGTTAAGACGTATAATCATAATTCATCAGATCGTCAAGGATTTCCCATTTTTTTTTTTGTTAAAGACAATAATGTGTAACATCTAGAATTCTTAAAATCCTTTATTATTATTACTAACTAAATCTAATGTATAATGTATAAAATGGAATAGGGGCATATTTTTAAATATTGGTATTTTTCTTTGCTATATAACTACTAATTTACAATTTACAGTAAAAAGAAGAAAGAAGGGGGGGGAGGAAGGGTTAGGGTGGGGATATACTTTTTTTTTGTTATTTGCTTGCTTCTTGTACAATATATCAGTATTTTATTTTCTTCATATGTGCTGTCTGTCATATCTATTTATTTAGCAACCTATAGACGTATATATAAAAGAGCATAAGTATATAAATAAATGTATTTATTACTTTTAAACCTTACGACTTGAGCGACTGCAATCTGGGCACCAACTTGTTTCAAAATATCTTCTATGAATGAGACAATAACTTTTACCACGACCAAAACAAACATGACTAGTTGTTATTGTATTATTTAATTTATAATTACTGAATTGAATATACATTTTATTTTAAAATTACAAAAGAAACAAGTAAATAATAATAATAAAAAGCTTAACAAAGACAAACTTATCAGTGCTTTTTTATATTCAAAATATGTATTTGGTTTGTTTCACATTTTCTTCAATGGGTGTGAAAGAGGGACAAAAAAAAAAAAAATAAACTTTATTCAGTTTTTCCCTCTCATTTTAGTTATACGCAAAATCACAAGCTTAATCACGGGAACCAAATAATAAGAAAAGAAAGGACAAAAACAGAAAGAATATCGCCTTTTTTTTTTATTTAAAGAAAAAGATAATATAAGATTGTTTCTTTTCTTTTGTCTTTTTCTACATAAAGTTTTGTCTTTTAGAAAAGAATAATTTGTGAAATAAAAAAAAAAAGTTCTAATTTACACAAAAGATATAAAGAAAAATGAAATATCCGTGCATACCAAAAAAAAAAAAAAAACGGCCCCGACTCCTCTCTTATTTTTTACACAAAAATTGTTACAATCCTTGACCCGTGATCTTATTCAAACAGGTTACATTTTGTCCCAATTTTTATGAATAAATACTTTATATAAAAAAAAAAAGGTTGTTGTCTACTAATAGCCTTTGTGTATTATTAATAATAGAGAATATAAGCCTTCTGTTACATATTGAATGGATAAAATAATTAGGCTTGTAACATTAAGCTACTATTACATAAAAGAAATCAATATTTATTCTTTTTTTTTAATACTTGGCTCGAGCGTTTTTCAATGTTTACTGTAATAACTAATAGTAGTAGCTTTATTTTATTTTGTTTTTTTTTCAATGATGTACAATCAGAAGGTGAATACAATCCTGTTTACTCCGCAAAAAAAAAAATCAAAGATCGCTGAGTTAAAAAGATAAGCGTTATAAAGCATTTTATAGCCAAAATACAGAATATATAATAATAGATATTATACACGTATTGATGGACTCTGTAGTATTAAATATATTAATGATCGGTTACACTGAAAATAATCATTGTTAACTGTTTATTATCAAAGTATGTGCGATCTAAGTTAGGAAAAAGGAAAAAAAAATTGCTTGCCTGGGCTGGCAAATTTCTTTTTCAAATTGTGATGAGTTTCCTTTAAACTAAAAAGTACTTTAAGCATTGATCTTTCAGGGCTTATGATGGTAAAACCAATAAAAGTACGCATTTTTTTTTGACATAAAATGTTTCAACTTCCTAAAATAGTCGAAGAGTTAATTTTGACATATCGTTAATACCATAAAGCCATAAAAAAAGAGTATTTATTTACCTCTACTTGAGCTAAAGAAATGAGTAATTTAACTCATTCTTGAAACTGCTCTTGTAGAACTATTTTGGCTTACAGCTGCTTTCATTCAATTAATCATATAATGATTAACACTCCACCTTTTAGGATAAACGGCGTCAACACTGTTATGCATTATGATAATCAAATATCTACTTTCCAAAGAATGGCTAATTGTTCAGTAAATACGATAAAAACATATCTAGTAAAGTAAGATAAATTCTTATTATCAATTGGGATTATTTTTTTTTCTAGAACCTAAATGAGCATCAAGAGTATATAGACGTGTTGCACAAAAAAAACAAAGGCTTTATGTTAATAAAATTGTTCATGATCAAAAGCTTAGTCTCTTTCTTGCGGAATAAGCTATAAAATAGGATAAAAAGAAAATTGAAAAGAAGTATTAATAAAGTCTTCATCTTCTTTAAATAGGGAATTTTTAATTTCTATTCATGTATAATTTTTGCTCTGTCTGTTATGTTTTATTTGTATAACTTTTGCCATCCACAAAAAGTCGTTATGCAAGAGAATATTTTTAAATAAAACGTTATTATAATGAAAATCTGCTACAATACATTAATTTATTAATTGCTGTTAACGATTGTGACTCATCCTCTCTCTCTCTCTCTCCTTCTTTTTTTTTTCTTTATTCCTAAATACATCACAGAAAGAAATAAATAATAAAAAAAATGATAAAGACAGATTCATGTAAGGTTTACCATAGATAATTCCTTTAACCTCTCCAAAGTTTCATTAAAAGGCCTTTTTAATCAAATAATATATACTTGTACATAACTAATAGTATTATATTAGCTCTGTACTTGTAATTCGTTTTCTGTTGTGATCATTTACACTTGTATATGAAGAACTCCAACTTCTATTGGACATATTTGAAATCATTCAAGTTTGCAATGTCAAATATGAGATAGGATATAACTTGTTAATTATTGTATTAATAGACATGTTACGTACGTGTAATAATTAATAAGAGATAAAATAGTTTATTACAAGTAGTTATATTATGTTGAATATATTGTACATTGTAAGACGTACTTACTACCATTATAATACTTGAAAGTATTCATTATCTTTCGGTATGTGTACTGAATAAAAACTAGGTACACTAATAAATACTACTTACTGACTTGAGTCATATATTTAGAACCAAGAATAAACGATGTTCCCTAAGATAATCAGAGAAATTATTTTTTTTCCCCTTCTTCCCTTCTTCCCTCTTCAAGCTTCTTCTCTTCTTTATATTGTACAAACTTGCTGTATGTTGTACTCTCACCATATTTAATCATCGCTAACACCACATGTAGATTATTCTAATTCCTATTAGCACTCATATGAAGAAGCATCATATTTTCGTGTACTACCTTACTAATGGCGTTGGACAAATGTAAAACAGTAAGACCTATAATAAAAATAGATCCATGTAATACTAGATTTGAATGATTTAAAACAATTCTGCCATAATGGTAAGAAGTACCTTTCTTATCATCAAAATCGATAAAATAATAATTATCTAACAATATGAATTGGGATGGACTCTGTATTTAAGTATTATCAGCGTAGAGATCTATAGATTACTTTACCGAATAAAAAAATTTCAAGTTATCCTGTATATATGTATATAGAAATGTACATGTATATTGTATCCCAGGTCAATCAGCGTCTTCATATCTTAAAAAAAAAAAAAAAAAATTATCTCATATTTTAGGTAAGGTATTCTAGGAGTTATTATCTACATCCAGCCCACTAGAGTATCGCAAAATCATCAAATTATCACATCACCTATATACCTTCTATCATATAAATGATTTGCTCAACACTTTTACAGCCCCTATATTCTTATAGTCAATTTAGTCTCACACTTGAGTTTATAAGACATTTCAACGGTATGCTTTATATAAATGATGTTATGTTTGTTTTACAAACAACAAGGCACGAGAAGATAGCCCTTTTTTGAAAAAGGTAATCAATATAGCTATGACCTTTGATTTCGAATAAAAGTATTATATTGGATTCATTCTGCTTATTAACAGCTAGCATACATATTATATGACACTCTATTTTAACAAGTATATTTCAATACATCTTTTTATATAGAAGGTCACTATCATACACAGGGAATACTGATAATTAATATATTATCCAAATAGTGATCACAATAAAGCAAGTCTTATTTACTGATATCAATCGTTTTGGTTTTAAAACCCTTCTATCTTTTTGATGTTACTTAAAACGGTTCAATCATAACTCAAGTACAAATGAACTCTCTCGAAACTAGTCAAGAGACATTTTAAATAACCAGAAGAAACTTGAAGTCGACGTATTGGAAAAAAAATGCATGATAGCTTTTCTATGTCCTCTATCAAAATGATCTAACTTTCAAGCATGCGAGAACCATCCTAGAATTGTTTTATAAGAATTTTCATTTATATTTATTTTCACTACTATTTAATGGTCTATTGACTTAGTTATACTCTATATATCTGGCCACCTCTTTAATAAATCTACATGCTACAATTCTTTATGATGTTTATCTGAAAGGAATATTAAACCAACGATATTTTTATAGGTCCTAATAAATTTAGCCACTATTTCCATTCCTTCCGTACGCATAACTTTTTTTTTTCTTTTCTTTTTTACCTCAAGTATCCTTTTAATCGACTAATTAAAAAATGCTGCGTTCATATATACTTTTGTTTACAGTCACTGGAAGCAACTGAATATTCTTTGCTCTTTCTTTATTTTTCTAAATTCCAATGCGAAAGTATATATATATATATAACCCTTTTCAAATGAAACTGCATGAACTATTTAATTTCGATTATATAGAACACACTTTTCATTATGAGGTTGAGCATCATCATCCACATCATGGTAGGCTAATTTCTCCTCCCCCTTCCCAATCTTACAAATTCCTGCTGTACCTACTACTTCATTTTTCACCCTTGAACTTATTAGGAATATCGTCATTATCTCGTCTGATCTGCCTCAGTGAGCAGTTTTTAGATATAATCTGTTATCTTGTATTTTTTAGTGTTTATGGCTTTTCGTTATCGATATCTTTGAATATAATCATCCTATATTAGTAGACTTTTCGTTATTTGTTTTCGCATATCCTGATATCTTTCTCTCTTCTTTATATATATATTGCTCTTTGAATTAGCAAACAGTTTTAACAAAATGGTAGTCGTTTACATCAAGATATGAATGCAGATTAATGTTAACATACAGTAAGCTATTCTGTTATTAGTAGTATAAGTTTTATTATTCAAGAATTAGAAAGAAAGATTCAAGTCGATCATATTAAAGAGCTTGAGGGTCATTCACTCTATAGATTATATATAGATTAATAGAGCATAGAAACCAATATGTTAAGGCATAATATGAAGAAGATTATAAGTCCTATACGTATCATTTTACTTTAATATTTGGCAATTATGTAAACACTATTTTCAATTAGTTTATCCAAAATTCAATATATAGATTGTATGAAGTTTTACGTTGGCTGCTGATAGTCATTTTACTTTTCGTATCTAGTTTCTTATATAACATAATATACACCCAATTTATTATTTACCTATCTGTACCTTGACTCCAAGTGTTTATTTAAACCTTTTTCATTTCCTTTTTTTTTTTTTAAGATTTATTATTAAACCATCAAGAAACTAACATCTCTCCATGCTTGCGACTCTTTAACTAAATTATCAAATGAACCGATGTATATCGTATTCTTATATCATTACACGTTGATATCAGACTCTATACCATTAATCCCTCTTTCTCATCTTTACATACAGTGTATTCAGATATATTACAAGAAAGAACTTCTTTTTATCACTATATTTATCAAACTAACTCAGGTAAATTGTAATATATTCTATTTGGACATTTTGTGTCCATTCGGGTTGCTATTTCATTATAAAAACCGCTTATACATATATAAAGAATATAATGCAATCAAGAAAGGCTTGTACAATTCATATTTTGTCACTTGTAATTACATGTAATTCAGTCAACTATGACTATATGTAATTGATATATAACCTGTTTAATTATTGTATGTATGCATGTCACTTTGGATATACTGATGACCTAGTATAACTTGAACAATAAACAATATATCACCAGTTAAGCCCTCTTTTTATATATATAGAATATATTACAGAAATAAGATGAATGAAATACAGATCTGTAGTACAATTATATATTAAAAAGTACAGTCATCTCTCAGTCAGTCAGTCAGCCAGTCAGTCAGTATGTTTCTCCCTCATTCACTCACTAAAAGTATAACTACTTTATAACTATATACATATAATATAAATTTTGAATTGAGCATTTTTAAACATTATAATATAGAATACATATTCATCTTTCAAGTCATTTTCATATATTGCATGGAGCTTAAAAATTCGGAATGAAGAAAATATATTGAGGTTATACAGAATTTTCATTTGATAATTTTTTTTTTACTTGTCCACTCCCTACGTTCCCCCCCTCCCCTCTTTTGATAGTTCCTGAATAAAAAAAAAAAAAAATCTTCTTTTCCCCTTTGTCTCGATTTTTAGTATGTTCCCAGAGTATATAATATTCATTCTCCTATTTTTTTCTTTTTAAAAAAAAGTACTCTTTATTTTTTATTTTTTATTTTAAATCCTTTTTTTTTTTTATTATTATTATTTTTCCAAACAGGAAAGCCTTATTAAAAGAGAACAAAAAAGGCAACGATATAGATAACAAATCATCCTTGTTACTGAAAAGAGCTTAGTTTTCTATTTTTATCCTTTTTTTTTGGCTTTCTTCTTCTTCTTCTTCTTTTTATATACATATATTTTTTTCATTTATATACACATATACACGTTTAATATAATGCAGAGTAATGGTAATATAAATATACATACAAATATATTTATACAATTCTATTGAAACCAAAAATCAAATATTAGTTATTTCGGAACAGGCAGAATCATGTTCTGAACAAGGAAATGAATACCCATTTTGTTATCCAACTTTTACAGATGTTTGGAGAAATGGTTCGACTTATGATTTTATATGGAATTTCAAGTAAGTAGTAATAATAAAAAAAAAAATAAACTACTATTTCATTATTATAGAAACTTATATACATATTTATAATAATAATAGCTATCCTTATTATGTTCAACATGTAAGAGAGTTTACTACAACACAATTTTTTTTTTCATTAAGATATATGCTTATGCTTTTTCTTTTTGTTAGGAATATCTTAATCTTTACTTGTATTATTATATCAAGTTTGAATACAAAAATGTAAAAAACTTTACAAGGTTAGATCAAAGTTTAGGAAGTGTTAAGGTTACTGTAGATGATTCATGGTTCCTTTCTCCACTTGAACCTGGTTCTTTAGATCTTAACTTGACTCTATATGGGTTTTATTTACCTTCTACTGAAAATGTAACAGAAGAATTATCAAATCCAATTAGCATGTATCCTCGACCTTTTAATTTTACTATCACTCGTAAATATTTTAATATAACATGCAAGTGAGTTTTTTTTTCTTCTTCTCTCTCTCTCTCTTTTTTTTTTTTTTTTTTTTTTTTTCATGGATTAAGCTTATATCAAATATAAAAATTTGATATTCTTCTAGAGATGGCATCTCCTTCCGATGATAATCATAATACCAGCAAAATAGACACGACGAATAATAACTCGAGTCATGATAGCAACGACTCAAATCATATGTCATCATTACCAGGATGGGCTATTGCAGTTATTGTGATAGCTGTTGTAGCCTTGATCTGTGGTATTATCGCCCTTATCTGGATCACCTTAATCTCTCGACGAGATAAAAAGGATAACAAACGAAGAAGAAATAATAAATTAATTCCTATCATAGGCCGTCATGAAGAGAATGAGAAATCATCTGTTATAGAAAAGCCAGCGACAGCCTCTATTCATTCACGAATTAAAATGTCGGCATTTTTCCGTTCAACCGACAGTGTCCCTGGTATGGAAAATGCGTCTAGTGTAGGTACGTTCACTTCGTCTACTATAAAGCAAGCCTTTCATTATCAACAACAACAACAACAACATGGTCAACCGCCTATGTTTTCACCCTCTGATGAAAGGTATTATCCTGGTGGCTCTGCTCCTTTATTTTCTCCAACAACAACAACAAATAATGATAGTATTCATAACCGACCTTCCACTTCTTCAACATTAGCACCACCTCAAGATAAATTATTCATTGAAGATGAATTCATAGATGAAGAACTAAGAAGACGAAGATTAGGTGAGGCCTTATTACAACGACAATTAGAAGAAGATGGTGCCTCAGTTAAACATGCGGGTCGATTTACTCGTGTTAAAAGTTTAGCTGACATACAGAAAAGTGCTGTTTTTGAGCAAAATCCCGAAAAGCAATAACATATATAAATATATAGATATGAATATACATGTATATAAATAGTTGTATACACATCTATTTGTATATCTATTTTTTTGTACTATTTATGTGTATATACTAATATACAGGCATATATATTTTTGTGAAAAAAAAAAAAAAAAATCTAAATTTTCTATAATTCAGATAGACCTATCTTTTTTTCTTTTTTCCCCACTCTTTTACCCTTATACCTCTTTCTTTCTCTCTCTCTCTCTTTTTTTTTTTTTTTTTTTTTTGCTCTATTTATCTATCTATCTCTCTTTCATTATAATGAATAATAAAGAATTCGAACAAGAACCTCCTAGTTATGATCACGCTTTTCAAACTAACCTTGATCCCCAGAATCAAGTTTACCAGTTTGGAAAAATTCATGATGCATCACTTGATTCTTATGAAAGAGGAGAAATGTTCATTCAAGCATTTGAATCATCCTTGGACTCATTTCCTTTAAAAGAAGCTCAAGAAATCAAACAAAATGGATTTATCAATTGTATACAACTTAATAACCCGACTACTCCTTTACATTCTTCTTATAATACACATCCTAAACAACTACAACAACAACAAACACATGTACCTTTCCTTATCAAGGATACCTATTGTATTCAATTTTGGCCTTATATGAAAGGACAAGAACCAGACCTGGATGTGACAGTTCATGGTACACATCCATTTTTAAAGCTATCTGACTATGCTGATCATCATCAGAGTACATTATTATTAACACAGCATTATTTCGAAATCACTCTACAGAGAGTATTCAATAAGGATATTGTCTTGGCTATCGGTTTATGTACTCAACCGTACCCTATCTTTCGTATGCCAGGTTGGAATAAGTTTTCGATAGGTTATCATAGCGATGATGGACACAAGTTCTGTGATGATGCAACAGGAGGTCAAGCCTTTGGTCCTAGTTGGACAAAAGGGGATACAGTAGGCTGTGGTTACTGTCCGGATACTGGCAATGTCTTTTTCACTTTAAATGGTGTATGGATATGGCAAGCCTTCGAAGGCCTTGGGCGTCATTACTACTATCCAAGTATTGGTGCTGATGGTCCTGCTCAAGTAGAGGTTAACTTTGGTCAAAAACCATTCCAATATCCAATTGAAAATTGGATAGGAAATTATATTTAAAGAAGAAGAAAAAGAAAAAGAAAACCAAAAAACCATAAAAAAGAAAAATAAATAAAAGAAATAAAAGGCTTTAATATTCATTTTGAAGAGAAATATTTCCAAATACGTGATTATATGTAATTATGTATATCTGACCGTTTGTGTGTGCGTGCGTACGTATGTGTGTGTGCGTATACGTGTGTGTGTGTGTGTGTGTATGTGTGAGATTGCTTCTCATGAGTGTGTAAACAAAATGAGAATTACTGTTTATTAGCTTCTTTATCTGACTCCGTAACTAAAGGACTTTCTTTAACAGGACTTGCACCTGGTTGTGAAGTAGGATTAGAATGTGGGATGGTATCAGGTGAAGGATGTTCTGAGCCTATTGCTACAGGTTCTTTTCCAGCTTTCGAAAGTGCATAATCACCAGAATCAAAGTATTTACGTTCCTAAAATAATGATGAATAGAATGAGTATAAAAAACTTGAATAATCTTTTTTTCTTTTTTTTTTTATTATTTACTTTAAGTTTATGTCCTAAAAGATCTTTACGATCTGGAAGTTTCCCATACATACGAAGCAACTTCTTTTCTTCTTCGCTTAATTTCTAAATTTCAATAAATAAAACACGGTTTAATAATGCACATTATATAAATTTATATTTATATTTCTAAGGATAAAATAATTACACTTATATCAACTTTATTCGCTTGAGATGGGTTCATATTATTTTATCTATTATTAAAATAAAAAGAAGAATATTTATAAAAAAAAAAAAAATGAAAGAAGAAAAAAAAAAAACTCTAGTAAAAATAAAGCTTGTGTGTGAACATGTGCTACTGCTTATCTGTTCACAAAGCACCTTTACGTGACGTAATATCTGAATGGTAGTATTAGATTCTTCCTATAACACGAAAATTATTGCAAAAAATTGTTTGTCATTTTTCATTGGCCTTTTTTTTTTTTTTTTTCTTTCAGTATAGAGAATCAGTTTATTTATTAGCAGCAACTTTAAATTAAGAAAAGACAGTTCTATTCACATAAACTGTACAAATAAAATAGAGCAGCTTAATCATAGTATTTATAATAGTCTTGTATATGTATATATATATAAAAAAAAAAAAGTATTTTAACACGCATTTACCTGTAGAAGAATTAACTAGTTTTTTTTTTTCTGTACAATCCATGTTTCTAAGTCTAGACATTTTTTTTTCATTTTTTGCTGCTAAAATAATATAATGTTCATTCTTGTTTCATATTTACCGCAAAAGATGATTTTAAGCTATAGCCAGTTTTGTTATCATTGCAGATTCCCACCCCCTATTCCTATTTACTGCATATTCTCTAGCCAGCCATGCAAATAAGCTAGTCATTCCTTGTTGAGCCTCTTCATTTATTAAGAGTATTTCTTCTTCTGAGTCACGACATGGTGGAGGCTTATTAAACTATCTCCTTCTTCAAAGAACAGTATCCCTGATTTAAATGTCAACAAACTTAATATCCCTGTTGAATCTATGATAGAAGAGATACGGTAATATAAATTGGCGCGTATGCTGCTTATTTTATTTTATTTTATTTTTTTTTACTTTAGATTGTTATTACTGAATATCACAGACATCTTCTTTTGAATTGTTATCCTTTTGCTTTACTTTTATTTTATTTTATTTTTATTTTTTTTTGTAAGCTATATTTGGAAGTGACAAATTAGCATAATACGACAAGATTGCTAATCGGAATTGAATAACAATGATAATAAAGCGCGGCAAAAAAAAAAAAAAAAAAAAAAAAAAAAAAAAAAAGAAAGAGAAATTCCCCCTCTTTTTTTTTTTCTTTTTTTTTTTTTCTCTCCCTCTGAAAAAAAAAAATGTCACAAGCTAATAATGATGGCATCAAAGTAATTGATGCTGAACCTGCACCTACCACAAATACTGCCAATAGTAATAATGCTTTTCAAGGTGCCAATGCCATCCTGAATAACACTTTGGATAGCTTTGCTAACTTGAGTTCTCGTCTTAATCCTTTTACACAAAAATTAAATAAAGGTCTTGGTCAAGTTAGACAAGTAAGTAGCAATAATATAATAAGAATGATGGCATTTTATATGAAACCTATCAAAATAGTTTGCTCAAGAAAAATTGGGGACTGCTGAAAATATTACAGAATTACCTCAAGAATATAAAGATTTGGAAAAGGTTTGTTTATTAAAAGGAAAAAAAAAAAAAAAAAAAATGGATGAATGAGTAAATGGATGAAATTGCTTATTTTTATTATTAGCGTGTTGATGCTCTTCGTAGTGTTCAAGCCAACTTGTTAAAAATATCTCGTACATTTAATAGTTCATCTTATGACTATCCTATTCAAATTCAAGATTCTCTAATTGGTATTTCTAATACGGTAACAAGAGAAATTCAACATTTAACAATATCATCAGCTGCTGATAGAAGTGATGTAGAAGAACAACAACAACAGCAACAACAACAACCTAATACATTATTACATGGATTATCACGTGTTGCAGCTCAAGGTGCAGAATCAATTGGTATCGAAGAGCCACTAGGTACTGCTCTTTTCAAATATTCAACAATTACATCAAAAGTCGCCGATGCTCGTGTCAAGATGGACCGTACCATTGTTGAAAAGTTTAATAAGCCAATGCAAGCTACTTTGAATTCATCTTTGGATCAAGCTTTAAAGGCAAGACGTCATGTACAATCCATCCGATTAACTTTAGATGCTTGTAAATCAAGATATCGATCTGCTCGTCCTGAAAAGTTGGAAGCTGCTCGATTAGAAGTAGAACAAGCTGAAGATCAATTTGTAGCTGCTGTTGAAGAAGCTACTCATTTAATGAAGACAGCTCTTGAAAATGTAAGCCTAATTATAATATATACATATAAAAAAAAGAAAGAAAGCGTATTCATTTTATTATTATTATTAGCCTGAACCTTTCCGTAATTTAGCAGACTTGGTTAATGCTCAATTACAATACTTTAAAGAAGCTCAGGAACTTTTGTCTGATCTTGCACCTGAATTAGATGAAATTCAAGTTACTCAAGAATCTCTATACAGAAACAATCATACTTAAAAATACAAATATATTTTTATAAATATTTATTTATCTATTGTATTAAATATTGTATATTAATAATATTTGTATGACAAACTGTAAATCACATGAAAGGAAGGGAAATGTATCTTTTTTTTTCTTTTTCTTTTCTTTTCTTTTCTTTACTCATTTTATAAAATGTCGAATAAAAGGAAGCAATCTTTAAACGATGAACAGATGAAAAAGGATGGTAAAAAGACAGCGTATTTAGTAAACAAAAAAAAAAAAAATTAACTAGGATTGATTATGATATCAAACAATGAGAATAGATAATGACGAGCCAGTAACAACAGAGAAGGAAAATAAACTATTATTAAATGATGAGCTTGTTTTGACAGAAAATAAAAAATCATCTTTTTGGAAGGCATATCCTACACCTTCTTCTGTTAACATGATTGACCCTAAAAATCCAGTAAAGGTGGAAGAGGATGAAAAGAAAGAGAGACGATCTAACGTTGTCTTGCCTTCATTTCATTCACAGTTTCAACCTGTCTATCCTCCTTCTTCTTCTTTTTCAGTCCTCTTTTCAAAGATCATCGAGACCGTTCGTTGTCGTTCGCTATTTTCAAAAGGAAAAGAAGAAAGGACTAGAGATGATTTACACAATTTTATTGAAACAATAAAGAAAGAAAGTATAAACAAATCAATTAAAAGAAAAAGGTTTCTTATTGTAGGTGTTCATGGATGGTTCCCAATGAAGGTAACATAAAATAAAAAGGCAACTTGTATTCAACGTGTCAATATAATTTGGGTGATAATAAAGTGTAGCTTGTTCGTAGTGTGATTGGTGAGCCTACAGGAACATCTAAGAAATTTTGTGAACAAATGACATTAGCTTTAAAACGCTATTTTTATAAAAGGTATGATATCAGACTAGCCGATGAATCCATTACAGCATTGCCCTTGGAATGGGAAGGCAAAGTGTTGGAGAGGGTGGATAAGTTTTATAAAGTACTTTCAATAGAATCCAATCATTTAATTAAAGAAGCTGACGTCATCTTATGGGCTACACATTCACAAGGAACACCTGTTTCTACCCTCCTGTTGAGAAAATTAATTGATGATAAAATAATTGATATTCAACGACAGCCAGTATGTATGTTGGCTATGGCTGGTATCTCACATGGACCCTTCCCATCTATCCTCAAAGGAAATTTAATAGTCAAGGTCAGTAAGGATATGACGTTTTTATTATTATTATTATGATTTATGATTTATGATTCGATACATAAATAGTATTTTGAAGCAGATGCAGCAAGAGAATTATTTGAATTTATGGATTCAAGTTCTGATATATCAGTTCAATTTCAAGATGCACTCCTATCTCTTTTATCACACCCTTATCTTAAAATAGTCTTGGTGGGTTCAATGCAAGATCAAGTAGTACCTATTTATTCTGCTATCATCTCAGGTATCCTTCATCCTCGAATATTACGTGCTCTTTACATTGAGGGTGAAGTCTATGAGCCTAATCATTTTCTGATTCGACTTGTTTTATTTTCATTTAAACTGTTAAATCTTGGTTTATCTGATCATGGTCTTTTAATTCATCTTAGCCAAGTTCTAGCAGGTAATTTTTGGCAAGGAGAAGGGCATTCGAGGATTTATGAGGAATTAGACGTCTTTCTATTATCCCTTCAATATCTATTTGAAACTCCCCCTTTTGGATCATTTAAAGTCATCAAAACGACCACCGTCTATGATGACATAAAAAAGGAGTGGATACTAAATACGCCAAGGTTACTCAATAATCCTTATCATTTACCTTGGGCAGTACGTGGTATCTGGGATGATCCACGTATTTTAAATGATCCAAACTTGGCGAATGAACTACATCAACTGCAAGCCTTATTTGACCAATGGCGCCCTACTACAGCTAAACTAAAAGAAATTAAATATCGTCTAGAGCCATTAAAGGCAAGATTATAGAAGAGGAGAAAAGAAGAAAGAGAGTTGAAGATTAGAATGTATAATAACCGTCCGCTTTTATGTATGTAACATATATATACATATTTATATCTTTAATATAGATTAATCAAAAGAGGTCTTTTTAAATACCATATTGAGAAAATTTTTCCTATTTTATGCATTGATGAATGTTTATTGGTTAATAAATAATGTGGTTGGCTCCTTTTTTTTTATATATATTAAATTTATTTATTTATTATTTTTTCTTTTTTTTTTTTTTTTTTTTTCTTTCTTTTCTTTTCTTTTTATGTCGAATAAGAATAAACCAATAATGTCTAAAAGGTCTTCTGCTACACTTGTCCTAGTGATAGGCATGTTGATATCAGGTAATACATGTATCTTTTTTTTTTTTTCTTTTCTTTAAAAAAAAAAAAAAAAAAAAAAAAAAAAAAGAACTAAAATAGGAAATGTCTTTATTTATTTGTTTATTTATTTGTTTGAAAAGGTGTTTGTAATACTATTTTAAATAAATTTCAAGACATGCAATGTGTAGATCATTGTGATGATCCCGACCCAAAGAATAGAAAGTATTTTGAACAGCCTATTTGGCAAACGTAAGTCATAGAATAGACACACAATGTATAATGATAAATAAATAAATATATATATATACCTGTTTATATCATAGACTTAATATGTTTGTTGGTGAATTTGCTGTTTGGTCTGTTTATGTTTATCAAAAATATCAACAAAGAAAAATGTATAAAAATGGAATTTTGTCTAATTCTGTAATTCCACCTCCTTCTGCAGTTAATCAATTGGATGCCTCTGTTATAATTGATGATGTTGATCAACATAATAAACTAATGACAGAACAACAAGAACCATTACCTGAACTAAAAGGTTGGAAGAGTCTTTTATTCTGGATACCTACTCTATGTGATTTAACTGCAACCACAGTAAATTTTGAATACTGATATCCTTCCTATCCCTCTATTTTACTAACTAAATGATTATGATTATAGATCATGAATGTAGGCTTAATTCTAACTTCAGCTAGTGTCTATCAAATGTTAAGGGGAGCTGTCGTGATATTTACAGGCTTATTTAGCTATTTATTTTTAAATCGTCGTTTGCATCGATTTGAATGGTTTTCTTTAGTGCTGGTAGTTGTAGGTGTCGGTATGGTCGGTCTCTCTTCTATTTTATTTCCTCAAAAGAAACCCAGTGTCGTTGTATCGTCATCATCTTCTTCATTTGATTACCAATCACTTGTAGGCGTCTTTTTAGTTTTAGGAGCACAACTCTTTACTGCATCACAATTTGTAATTGAAGAAAAGATTTTAATACGTTATCATGTGACGCCACTTAAGGCAGTAGGACTTGAAGGATCATTTGGATTAATTTCTATTTTATCAGCCATGCCATTCTTACATATTTTATTGGGAAAACGTTATGCTTCATTTGATATAATTCAAGGATTTCATGACTTCTTTGATCATTCACTTGTTTGGCAAACAGGGATTGCTATTAGTATATCCATTGCCTTTTTTAATTGGTTTGGACTTTCGATTACATCAGCAGTTTCTGCTACTGCCCGAAGTACCATTGATGCATGCAGGTAAAATAGAACCTATAATGAATTTAGATGATGTATTTATTTATTTATCAAATAATAGGACATTATTTATTTGGATGGTATCCCTTTATTTGGGTTGGGAACAATTTTCATGGATTCAAGTAGGAGGATTTATTGTTATGGTGACAGGTACGTTTTACTTTAATGGAGTTCTTAAATGGCCATTTGTTCGTAAAGAAGAAGAGGAAGAGCGTAGACCCCTTTTATCGCAAGAGTAAAGAATCCGTCTATTTGTATTAATAATAATAAAAAAGACAGCGTAAAATCAAAATCCATGATAATTTCTTTTTTAAAATAAAAAAAAAATAAAAATAAAAGGTGGGGCGGGGATATAATTGCTTTGAAATAGAGTAGTAGACTAGACTCTGCCAATACCAACACAGAGAATCATTGTAATATGCGTGCGTTCACTTGTTATAGAATAGGTCTTTCTACGTATAAGTGTGTGTATGTGTGTGCGTATTGTGTCAAACAAAATGATCTCTATTACTAGTGACTATACATGTAATCAGATTATAATAGGTTTCTTTTCTAGTCATGCGTGTATTCCATTCGTTTATTTACGAATAAATAATGTAAAGAAAACTTTCATTTGACATAATATAATAATAATTCAATCGCCTATTTAATAATAGAATGTTGTTATTATTATTGTTCCTAATGATGCATAATAATAATAAAAAAAAAGGGATGTTATTCTTCGTTATATTTACATTGATGAGCTTAAAAAAAAATATACATATAAAAATTGTTGTTGCATGAAATACACGTCTGTTTTCTTTTTTCTCTGTTTTATACTTCTTTCTTTCTTCCTTCATTACTTTTAAATGGAAAATAATAAAGGCAAAAAATGAATCTATTAAAGAACAAAATATATTAAAAGAAAAAAAAAATAAATCTTTCTCTCTTTATATATATATAGATTGCTATAACGACAATAAAAGAAATCTATTTGTTTCAAATAACAATAATAATACATGGAGACAACAAAATCAAAAAAGAAGTATTCAACATAATGAAAATAATATAAATCAATATTGTAAAATAATATATATTTATATGTGAAAGAAAGAGTGTTAAAGAGATTTACATGATTTCTCTTAAAAAAAAAAGATGATCACTTTAATAAAGAGCAAATTATTCACTCTTGGTGGAATAGAGTACAAAATGAAAATGAACCATTTTTAACAACAAACATGAGTCATCATACAGCGAATTATGAACAAGGTTAAAAAATAAAATAAATACAAGAATACATACATTATATTAATATATGTATATATTATATATTTTTTATTCATACACCTATTAAAAGGCTTGAAAAGGTTTAAAGCTACTACAACAAATGCAGCCGTCAATCAATTTCATCTTACACCACCTGGTTTATCAAATCGTAATTGTAATAGTAATCTATTTTCTCCATTTCATTATCAACAACAAAATAGTCTTTGGAATGGATTACATCAATCAAGAGATACTTCTTTATTTAAAGAAAATCATAAGCCTGCTTGGTCTCAAATAGTCTCTGGTGAAAGACAACAAGATATGGATTATGAATCATCAAATCCAATGACAACAACAAATGATAATACAACAAAATATATTACAGATTCTATATCCTTTATTGCTTCTAATATGATGCGTGATGAAAATGAACAACAAAATATAACTTTAATTCGACCTTATACTGTTGTCAAAATAATTAATGTATATAATATATATGTGTATCATCTAATCTAATCTAACACTATTCTATTCTATTCTATTCTGCTCTGCTCTGCTCTGCTCTGCTCTGCTCTGCTCTGCTCTGCTCTACTCTGCTCTGCTTTACTCTGCTCTACTCTACTCTGCTCCACTCTGCTCTACTCTACTCTGCTCCACTCTGCTCTACTCTATTTAGATCCCTTGGAGTATAAATGCGAATGATATTAAACAAACATTTCAACAAAATATTCATATTCAAGTACCAAATGAAACTGAACTACCACAATGTATACATGTAAAATAAAAATAGTGGTGATTGAATAATATATATATATATCATCTCACTCATATTCACATTGAATAGATCTTAATGGATGTAAAAACAGGTAAAACGTTAGGTACTGCTTATGCTGAATTAATCATTCGTGATCAAGAAAACTTGAAATCTATATTGGCTAATCTTTGCTTTGCCTCTGTACAAGGTAGACGTATTCGTTTCATCCATAGTTCTTATGATGAACTCTGTAATGATCTCTTTTCTTCTTGGGCTGGTGAATTTAAAAATGGTATAGCTATTCCCTTTTCATTAGATACCATGAATGAGCAACAAAGGAATTCTCAATTCTTTATTGGTCAAAAGGATTTACAAAATTTATTAAATGTTTGTAGAAATTATAAGGTGAGATATAAAAAAAAAAAAATGACTAGTAATCCTCCTCTCCTCTTTTTATTATTATTTTATTTAACAGACCTTCTTCATGTTATAAGATGTGTTATAATCGTAAATGTGCTGAAAGATCATTTGAATATCTGATTTCTATTATTATGAATATTCCATGGAAACAACCAAAGGCTGTAACTAGAATACAAAGAGACATTATATATGAATGTTATAAACTTGTTGCAGGTTATATAAATATCTATATTCATCTATGTCTTTATTTATCTTTATCCTTTTTATTTTAGAGGCCTTACGTGGTCATGTAAATCGAAAATTTCATCCATTTGAGGACTATCTGTTGCCGCGTTTAGTACGAGCAGCTATATTATGTGATGGTTTTACTGTTAAACAGAAGAATGGTATCTTGAATAATGCGTAAGTTTCTTTTTCCCTTTTGACACATTCATACATTGACATTTACATTTGATATGATAGCAATTTATCTTGTCCTAAAGACTTGGAAGTTTATTTACAAGAACCCATTATTTTAAATGATGTTGAATTCAAAACTTTAATTCGTTAATATTTATTTATTTTTATATATTATGGAACAATGGCTTAAATTAGAAGAATACACATGTATTACTCAAATCAATAAATTCTTTATTCATATCAGTTGTTATCATATTGAAAAAAAAAAAAAATAACAAATGAACCATCAGAAAGTTTTAACTATATAATCCTATCAGTTTATGGCTTTTTTTATAATCAGTGTTTTTTATACATGTATATAGTCATTGAAAGAACTCGCAGAAAAAGGAAGAGAAAAAAGAAAAACACATAACTTGTAAAGAAAGGTTTTTCTTTTAGTTTTCTTTTTCTTGTTCTTTATATACAAAAAAAAAAAACATCAGATTTGGCTAAGTTTATATTTTCATCAGTGGCTCTTGAGGTAATAAACCTCCGTTTGTTATATCTTTATTTCCTTCGTGTAATGAAAATGAAAATAATGACATTTCTCTCTTTTTTTTTAAAAAAAAGAAAAGAAAAAGAAATGGAAATAAAATAAGAAGACTGCTTTTAGATAAAAAAAAAAAAAAAAAAAAAAAAAAAAAAAAAAAAAAAAAAAAAGACTGTTGTCGGACAAACAACACTAAAAATTTAGGGTAGTCCACATGTCTTCACAGCTAGTGCAACACATCGAGAAGCCAAAGGTAGATCTTCTTTTTTATCAAAGTAAACAAGGGGTTGCTTGGAAAACTGTGCCATGTAAGCGCGTCGAAATTTTTGAGGACTTGAATTACTTGTACTATGATGTAAAAGACGGTGTGACATGAATAAAATAGAGCCTGCAGGCACCTCTAACAGGTACGAATTATTTTGGAAATCGACAAGCTCCACTGTTCCATTGAATCGGTTAACATCATCAAGTGCTGTCCAACAAGCTACTGTTGGTTCTTGTCTGTGACGTACATCATCATAATAATCTGAATCCTATTACTAAAAAAAGTTATTCTTTTTATATTGTTTATATATGAACACAGTTAGTGAATACCCTATGCCATGCAAATTGAGATAGTCCGAATATAGAAGGCGGTTTAATGATATATTGTTCATTCAACTAACACATCGTATAACATTTAGTCAGTTAGATACTTCATACTAGTCTAATCATTTAGAATAACAAACCAAATATGTATCTTCTGTTTCTAATAGTTGTCTTGCCCAAGCTCCATATTTATGTAATACTAAATCAGAAATCAAAGTACCATTATCACAATCAAGAATACTATCACGTAATTTTTTATATTCTTTAACATCAGTTTTATAAAAATCGTTTTCAAACTCTAGAAAGCCACACGTCCAAGGCTCTGATTTTTATTTTTATTTTTTTTTTTAATTGTAATTAATTTATTAAAGGAAAAAAAAATTGTTGCAAATTACCAACAATACAACCAAGGTCGTGAATTAGATCATATCCTTCTGTCATTAAATGATTAGAAAGAAGATCTGCTTCATCATGTAATGCACGCAGTTCATTCTCTGACAATGCTATAATAAGGATATTTTTTAGGTTAGAATTAAATATGTACATATATATATATATATTTGATTTTACCATCAAGTAAGACAGTATATCCCTTTTCACAAAACTCGTTGATGTTTTCTTTTCTTAGAATCATTAATGAGTTCAATCAGAAATGCACATTGTTTTTTTCATTTATTATGAAAACTGATTTTTGTGACTTGAAGTTGTGTGACTTGATTTATTTTTTTTATTTTTTTTTTTCCTTTCCTTTTTTTTTTTATTTTCATTGTGGAAACTAAATAAATAAAACCAAACTAGATCTTGGGATTAACCCTTTTTTTTTTATTTATTTATTGAAAATGTCGAACTCAATTGACCAATTTATATCCAATGTTGTAGATAAACCACAAGTCTTTTTTACTTCAAATCAAGAGGTTGTTAATAATGCTTTGGAAATGGCAAAACATTTCTACGATAATGGTATCTATCTATAACTCTAACTATACGGCAAATGGTATACTCAGCCCTTTTTTTTTTTTCATCTAGTCAAAAAAATAGAACAAGTCCAATTTTCACCATTTACAGAATTATTAACAGAGGGATTTGATAACGATCAAATTTGGGAAGAAATTGCAGCACAAAACGAGCCCTTTTTAGATTATGCTAAAGATGCTCTTAAATCATTTAGCACCAAAAAACCTTCTCTGAAAGAATCTCAATCATTTAGTGACGATGAAAGTGTATCCGGCCAATCCATGGATCTTGATGAAAATGAAGAAATCCAGGACGATGATGAAAATTTCGAATTTGATCAACAAGAAGAAACAGAAAATGAATCTCAAGATGAGGAAGAAGAAGAAGAACAAGAAGAACAAGAAGAAGAGGACACAGATATAGAAGAAGAAGAAGAAGAAAAAAAGTATATCAATTTATAAACCTTAACATGAATGTATATTAATATTTTTTTATTTTTTTTATTTTTTTTTTAAAAAAAAGACCTAAAAAAACATCAGAAGTAGACGATGACTTTTTTAATTTAGAAGAATTTAACAAGTGGACTGAAGAACAGGAACAGTTAGACATGATGTCAGATCGAGAAGATGATGAATTTGATTTTGATAAAAATTTAGATGAATCCGAAGATGAAGAAGATGAAGATGAAGCTGTAGCTGCTGCAGAAATGACATATAATGACTTTTTTGGAAAGAGGCCAAAGCAGTCAAGTAAAAAAAGAGTTCAATTTGAAGATAATATAAAAGAAGATTTTGATGAGACAAATTCTGATAATGAGGAGGAGGAGGAGGAGGAGCAGTCAAATGAAGAAGATGAATCAATGCAGGAAGGCTCAGTGCGTGATCTCTTTGCAGAAGAAGATGATACTGAAGAATCGAATGATAATGATAAATCCGCCTTTCAAAAACAGCAAGAACGAATCCAGGCACAAATTGAAGAATTTGAAGAAGAAAATATTCAAGATAAACATTGGACATTACGTGGTGAGGCAACTGCTAATATTCGACCTGTAAATAGTCTCCTTGAAGAAGATCTTGAATTTGAACATGCGAATAAGCCTGTTCCAGTTATTACACAGGAAACCACAAATACCCTTGAGGAGATGATTAAAAAACGTATCCTGGATAACATGTTTGATGATGTTGAACGCAAAGTGGATCCTACTTTACAACCTTTTGTGCCTTCTAGACGTATTGAACTTAGTGATGAAAAAGCCAAGCAATCACTTGCTGAAATATATGAAGATGAATACATGCATAAACAGGGGAACCAAGAAAAGAAAGATGCCCGTGATGAAGCACTTGAAAAGGAACACGAAGAGATTACAGAAATGTTCAAGACATTATGTTACAAATTGGATGCCCTTTCTAATTTCCATTACACACCTAAGGCACCTAAGCCTGAAATGACAATCGTGAGTAATACTGCTGCTATTAGTATGGAAGAAGTGATTCCTGTCAATGTCTCAGAAGCTACTTTACTGGCTCCTGAAGAAGTATATGATAAGAAACGTAGTGAGGTGAAGGCGACAACAGAAATGACACAAGAAGAACGTAAACGTCTTAGAGCTCAAAAGAAGAAATTGAAGAGAAAGGAAAAGGCAATGAAGGAAAGAGAAATGAAGGTAATGCAAAAGTACAATCCTCGAATTGGTCAAAAGAAGGAAAAGATGAATGCAGTCAAGGAACTACTGACGCAAAAGAATGTTACTGTTATTGGAAAAGATGGACAACAAAAGCAATTTACCAAAAAATAATGTATATGATTTATAGTTTAAATATAAGAAAAAACAAATAAATAAATAGATAGATAGATAGTGTAAAATACGAAAGATGTGGTAATGATATGTTTATACGCTTACTGTGTTATACTACATATTGATCATATTACATAATAATATATACATTAAAGGGATTCATCATATAAAAAAGAAAAAAAGAAAAAGAAAAAAGAAAGAAAAAAAAGAAAAAAAAGAAAAAAAAGAAAAAAAAGAAAAAAAAGAAAAAAAAAAGAAAAAGAAAAAAGAAAAAAAGAAGAAAAAGTGCATATACATATCATATAAACATACAATAATAAGAAGGATTCAAATTAATAACGATAATGGAATTGAGGGACGAGAAAGGGTATAGTGCTACTTGAGGAATTTTCTATAATATGAATACAAAGGAATGTCGTGTAAAATGGTGTATCTTTTTTTCGTTCTAAAGAGACTTTTTTGAAAAAGTAGTGTCACAAGTATTTGCCCTTTTACGCTTCCATTCAACACATTTAGAGGATGGGGCGGGAACTGTGACGATTTCATTATAATTTTCTTGCTGTTGACCCCAAATGATTTTAAATCTACCTTTTTGCACTGAATGGCATGTTGGTGTTCTTGTGATACATTCATTTTTGACAATCTCCTCCTTTGTTGGAAAGGGTAAAGTTTTATTATTAGCGTTCTGCCAAAAGTGGTCGTCCCAAATGCACACTGTTGGGCCCACTGTAGAATAATGATGAGGAGAAGAATATCCATCGTCGTCACTTTCTAAATCATCTGAGTCATCATCATCTGTAGTAGAGGATGAGCAGCAGATAGACGTAGCTCTCTTTCGGTCAATACCTGTTAGATGAGCAAATTGACTAGCGGTCAAGTCTTCAGAATGAATTGTTGTATCGTAAGAGGATTTTCGAATGAATTTTTCAGTTGCAGCAGCCATTGTAGTGGCTGACGTTGTGCGGTTGTTGTTGTTGTTGTTGTTGCGAGAATAGTTAAATTTATGTGATAATTTGTGAAATCTTTTTTTCCATTTGATTGTATCAAAATAGTTGTGTAATGGTATAGAAGGGCTTGAGTTACTTTTGATCATTAAAGTTAAACTGAAAATAATAATAAAAATGAAAAATGATAATAAAAAAAATATAAAATAAAAAATAAAATAAATATAAATATAAAATAAAATAAAAATAAGAAATGGCAGAATATTATAAATGTAAATTATATAATAAATTTGTGTTAATTCAGTTCATATAAAACATGCATATGAGTGGTTTATGCCCAAAGGCGAAATCGCCTCAGACTAAATAATATCCGTTAAACTATAATATTAACAGTTGGATAATATTTTTCTTTTTCCTTCCTACTTTTACCACCTCCCTGATATACAAATATATATGTACATATTTATATAAAAGGATATAAGCACAAGCATACATTATCATTCTTCTGACCTCCCCACTTTTTTTTTTTTAAGTACAATATAAGCCTCTCAAAAAAAATAATATCGAATGCTGTATAATTTACCTGCTTTATATTTTTATTATGTTGAAAACATGTGTTCTTTTTGTGTGTGTGTGCGGGAATTAAAAGAATATCAGGCACAAAATAATAATAATAATAATATAATAAAACAGGTTAAAAAAAATTGTTAAATTTACTTATATTGTTGCTCCAGATATATTATCAAAAAAGCATGTTAGCCTGTTGTAATTTATATATTCATATGCCGTTATTATAAAATATATATGAATATACATATGTGTATACATATTATATCATATATTATATTATACATTATATTATGTCTTATTATTCGTTTCAATTAGACAAATACTCCTATTTTTCTGCCATAATAAATACAATATTAATGAGAAATAATTTATCTTCTTCTTTTCCGGAATATTATATTTTAGACTAATTCACTTGCGTTACATTAAAATTCTGATTTTGTGTTTCATTACTAAAGAAAAAAAACTATTCTACTTTATTTGTTGTCAACAAGTAAATTTATTAATATACAATTATTTAAATCACAATTGTTCACAGAAAAAAAGAAGAAGGGGATTGAATAACGTGATAGTAGTAGTAACGGTACTTGATCATTAACAACAATGTGGTTAATTTTTAGTTGCATTTTTTAATGACGTTATTATTTTAATAAACTTTCATTAATCAATAATTAATCTGTTGCTATCAACGCAAAATAAAAAGGCTAAGCTAAGTTTTGAATCACAAGATAATTACTTCATTTAAATGTTAAAAAAAAATTACCGCACAAAAAAAAAAAAAAAAAATCAAAAAGTTATTTCCCCATCGGGGAGTCGAACCCCGGCCGTGTCGGTGAAAGCGACAAATCCTAGCCGTTGGACCAATGAGGAACTTACATTAATGTCGTTTCTTGACTTCTTGAGATACAAAAGAGTAAAACTTTAGACCCACTACAAGTAATGAAAATATTCCGCAACTGAAAACATACGTAAAACAAGTCTTTTTGCTGAGTTTTAAGTGATTTTTTCAAAAAATGATTATTTCGTCAACTTATTACTAGTAAACATGAAAATAAAATTAATATTAATTTTTTTATCATATACAAGCTTTTATATATCTAAAAAAAACTACAACTTTATAGCAAAAATTGATTATTTTATAGCAATTTTAATTTTACAGCCTTTTGGCAGTATTTAATTTTCATAGAGAAATTGGGAGAAAAAAAATTAATTGACCAATAAAAGTCCTAAAAATAAAAAAATAAACATTCAGCTGGAGTTAAAATGACGTTTTTATTTTTTTTGGTTCTTTCACCCCCACAATTTTCACTTGTAATTTCAGCATGCTAAAAAATTAACTTTTTTTTTCTTCTACAAACAGTTAGACATAAATTCTTATATAATATTTCATACATGACAAGAAAAGATAACTATTATAAAAGTATACAATACATATAATAAACAAAAAAAATAATTTTGCATCTTTATTTAATTTAGTCATTTCGAATGTAAATGTAAATGTAAATGTAAATGTAAATGTCAATGTAATTGTAAACATTAATGGAAATGTAAAAAAAAAAGTAATCTCATAGATGCATGTTAATTGTCCCTAAAAAAATACAAAACACTTTCAACCATATTTAAATGTACACATACATATTATTACGTTACTACGACTGTTATTTGTTCAGTTTAAAATGACAAAAAACATTATGTCAATGCATTACTATTGAACTAATGTAAAAAAAAAAAGTAATTTCATAATTGCATGTCGAATTAACTGTGTTCAACTATATTTAACTGTATATATATATTATTCTCTTATTATAGCTGTTATTTGCTCAGTTTAGAATGACAAAAAAAATATTATGCGAATGCATTACTAATGAACTAATGTAAAAAAAAAGTAATTTCGTAAATGCATGTCAAATGATCTACATGAAATGTCCAAATTTCAATGTAATCGTTAATGAGTTCTAATTTACAATTATTTAATAATATATTATTCTTTTACTAATGTTTCTATTTTATGGAATACGAACGATAACTTGTAAACAAAAAAAAGTACATGAACAATAACTAATAAAGAAAATTGTGGGGGAGAATAAACTTATTGTAAACTTTAATTAGACAATTTTAATTAGTGCTAAAAAATTTTTTTAGTCCCTTTTTTTATTTTTTTTATCTTTTCTTTCTTTTCATTATATTGTAATAACATGCTTTTTTTCTATTATTTCTATTTTTTAGAATTTATTTTTTACTAGGTAATTGTTAATATATAATTGTAAATAAATAATATAAACTAAACAAACATAATGTATTCACTTTTTCATTTTATTTTACAGAGATATTGAGATTCTATTAAAGAATACTGCCTCTTGGTAACAGATAAAAAAAAAGAGAGAGAAAAGGTATATCATCAAGGCTTTTCTTCTTTTTCAAGTTATTGAAACTAATTTTGTATATTTATATTTAGATAAAGCTTTTTATTGTATTGTCTATCCATTGAATACAAATGATCAAGTGTTCTCTTTTACAATCAATTGAATAATATGGTAAGTTTCTTTTACAACAATAATTCAACAAGTATTATAAAGTATATATATATTTACTCATTATTATTTAATCATGCTTAGATGGCTCTTGTTCTATTCAATAGATAGATATACTAATAAAAACTTTTATTTTCTCTTTATATTAAAGGTAAATATCATATTACAAGGGCTAAAATCATATATATAACATGTCATAATTAGTAACTTGTCTTTATTTTTATCATTTAGGTAGACATTTATATCCTGGTAATACTGAATAACTAACTACAGATCAAATGGCTAAATCAATGGTAATCTTGGCTACTACTACTAAAGTTATATTAACTCAAGGTAAGTATGTCGTTGTATTATAGTATATATTATTATATATTTTTTTTTGCCATTATCATTATTATATAATATTCTATAACCCAATTTCAAATAAATAAATAAATAAATAAATAAATAAAAAGCCACATTTTTTTAAAAAAGAAAAGCTGTATAAACAAGGGCATTATAAGCCTATTAAACGTTAAGGAAGTGCAAATAATGAGCCAATAATGCAAACAGATTTGTATAATAAAAGCCTCAATTGAGTATAAACATCTTTAATAAGATCCAATTATAAGTAAGAGTAAAGATATGAATTACGACGTTAGAGACCAATGATAAAGGCAGTTGCTAGCGTAATATCGTTGTCCCCCCAAAAATAATAACCTATAATAATCACCAAAAGATACGTTTTACGTATTATCAGAATTGCGGAATACACGTTTTCGGTAGTTTTCAGTGGACGTAAAACGATCGTTTTACTTGTCGTTTTCCGCAAGTACCGAATACTTTCGTATTACGTGTTGCGTAATACGAGACCGAAAACGATCGTTTTACGTATAGTTCTCCGCAATATATCACAACTCTTTACTTGTAGTGGACCACTGCAGATAAAGTCTATTTTCACAATTGTTAAATGTTTGTAAAAGTAGACCTTTCACAATTGTAAAAGGTGACCTTTTACAAGAATTTTCGAAAATTGGAATATTAAAAAAATCATACCTTCTGAAAGCGACATTTTTCTGATTCAGAATGTATTTATTTTATTTTATTTGGTCAAGAATTCATCGAGTTATTATCATTTGGAAGTTTACTTTTCGCTTACATGCAATGCAAATTTCTGGGGTTTACATATTTTTTTATTGAGAATGAAATTGAATTTTATTGATAATCCCTTCAATAATTGTGATTGGCTAAATATGCATAGTGATAATTTTTTTTTTAATCTTGTTACTTTTTTTTTTTTTTACAACAAAGTCGTGAAGTATGCGTACCTATTTTTGTTATAAAATATATTCTATTCAATTTTAGAAGAGGGCATAAGCATGTTATATGAGCATTTAACGTACATTAAAAAGTTTCAACAATAAAGGTGAATATTTTTTCTATTAATTTGCTGAAAGACGCTTTAAATAAATTCGTTAAAGCTTTGAACATAATAATGCGTCTATAAAAAATATAATTTGTTTATATTTAAAATAAAAAATAAATAAATAAAAGTTATCGACTATACAAAAAGACGTCGCAATGGTTAAATTTGCAAATAAGATTGTTGCTAATGCCTGATGACAACTGTCCCATTGAGTAATTCTCTTACATTTATAAAATGTTTTCTTTAATTGAAATGACTTGCTAGTATTACTATAATATTCTTAACTGATTTATCTTTTCTACTTTTTATAATATAATTTTTTTGCATCCTAAATTCTATTTAAACGTTTTAACAATTTATAATAAAATCGTTCCATTGTTAATTATAAATTGAATAAAAAACATTAAAGCACATATTGGTTGGTGATGGGTAGCATTAAGTCATTGTTAGTTAATTACAATGTGCGAAGTCGTTGTTAATTCATTGCGAGTAGATG